GGCTAGAGAAGGCTGCACGGCCGGGGTCGCGCAGAGAGACCTCGGGGAGGCGGGAAGCCCCTCGGCAGGCGGGGAAGGGTCCTACGCGGCGGGGGGGCTCCACGGTCAGGAGAAAAAGCCAGCTTCTACTCACTCACCTATCTGGCGCCGGAAGTGGCCACACGGTGCGCGCGCCGAGCAGGAAGTGAGGCTCCCTGGTCGCGCAAGCGCAGAAAAAAAGCGGTGCCCCCCTCCCTCGAAGCGAAGCCGAACGGCGCCCCCTGCGGTTTGGGGTGGGATCGCAGTCCCTCGGGCTGTGGTCTCCGTTTGTGTTGTTTTGTTTTTGTTGTTGTCTGTCTGTCTTTTAACCTTCGCAGACGCCTCCAGAAAAGGCCAACTCGCGCAGCCGGGGCTGTGGTTGCCCGTGCGGCCCCGGGGAATGAAAGGGCTCGGGATCTAGGCTCCGCTGTGCGGGGGACGCCGCAGACTGATGCATTCAGTGAATGAACTGATTCATTCTTTCATTCAGTTCGCATCCAATGACCGCCTCCGTTATGCCAGACAGAAGAGTGTGGGTGCCACCAACAGATGGGCACCCTGAAATTCAGAGAGAGGGATGTCTTGCCAGGATCAGGCATCTCTCGGGCTCTCTCCATTCGTGGGCCTGGCCCCTGGTGGTGAAATTGTTCAACGCTGGTATTTACTAACACTCGTGGTTAGCATTTACTAACACTCATGGTTAGCATTTACTAACACTCACGGTCAGCCAGGGCAGCTGACTTCTCCCTGGACTTGCTGGGTCCTGCTTTAGGTTTCCTTCCAGACCCCCTGCAGTCAGTGCTAGAGGCCTCTGGCTTTGGGACCCTAGGAGGATGGCTGCACCTGGGCTGTTTGCAGAAGCCAGGGAGGCAGAGGGCTCCGAGTGGACGTTGTTGAGACAATGGCATTGTGTGTCCATTGTGTGGACGTGGGGGAGAGAGATAAGAAAGGAAGATTTTACATGTTCTCACCAGAAAAGAAAAGTTTTGCGAGATGCTGGGGATGTTAGCTAACGCTACTGTGTCAGCCATCTCCCAATGTCATTTCTCAGTACGTAAGTAACAAATCAACACGTTGTGCACCTTCAACTGATATAACATCAATTACATCTCCATAAAACGGGACCAAAAAAAGAGGAAGTCACTTCCCACGGGCAAGACAGAAGCAGATGCTATTACGGTTGAGTTCACAGGGGCGGTCAGAGGGTTCTCAGAGCAGGTCTTGCAGTGTTCATCAGACCCAAGCCCGCTCCTTCCTGCATTCATTCACTCCCTCACTGGCTCCTCCTCTGTTCATTCATTGACTCCTTTATCACACTCATTCATTAACTCACTCACCTGCTCATTTACTCACACATTCACCCATTTACTCATTAGTTCAGTCACCACTTATTTGGCACCTACATGGAGCCACGGTGCAGGGCTAGATCAAAGACGTCTGGGGAGGGGTGAGATCGGCTCCCTGCCCCCGAGGAGCACAGAGCCTCACTGATGAAGGGCAACCAAGTACGGGAGATCATCACAACCCAAGATAATCGGGGCATCTTCATGATCAAACAGGGCAGGGAGGTACTGTATTTCTTTACACCCCACCTCAGCCACCCCCAAGGTTCAGTGAAATTAAGACAGGCGCAGTGATGTCAGATAAGATGATGAGAGCCTGAGGCCGTGTCACTCTAATATGGACTTAGTGGGATTGGCTACTATGTTGCCTCATGCCCACCCTTGGAAACATGCACAGGGACTGGTAGAGAAGCCCCAGGACCTTAGCACCGTGCCTGGCACAAAGGAATTGCCCAGGGGATGTTTTTATGTCTCAGGGCAGAGGGTGATGTGGTGGAGAAGTGCATGAGCCCTGCATTCTGATGGCCTGGGTTTGGATCTCCACCACTTCCTGGCTCTGCAGCTTTGGATAAAGTATTTAGACTCTTTCTCGGTCACTCACTTTCCTCATCTGAGAAATGGGAATAATGATAATATTTACCTCATCGGTTAGGTGTCAGGATTAAACGAACCCTTAGCGTAATGCTTGGCACAAAGCAAGCACTTAATTGGTAGAAATTACTGTTTATTAAATGAATGAATAATTGCTCTTTTTATTAGGCTGAGATGTTCCTGTCAGATATTGTGCTAACAGCTTTACACACATTACCTTACTTAATCTGCTAAACAACCCTCTGAGCTGTCCCTTTTACAGGTAAGAAAGCAGGTTCTAAATGAGATGGGAGCGCAGAACGGACATGGCCCAGCATTATGTGCTCAATATAGTTATTATCTTGCTGCCAGTAAAGATGGTAAGATCCATAGTTATTAACATAGAAAGGTATCTATTACGTGAGGGAAAAAGTAAACTATAAAATAATATTAACAGCACGATCCCATTTTGTTTATGGAAGAATATCATTAAAATGTGGACAATGATGATCTCTAATTAGGGGAATTCGGGGTGACTTTAATTTCCCCTTTTAAACGGCTCTTTTCTGATTTTCCTCCAACAGGGCTATGAAAATGTACTACGGTGTAATTAAACCCATGTTTTAAGAGTTTTATATTTTTTGTTTAAGAAAATCCCCATGTTCAATTTAGCTCTCCTCTGCAGGAAGGAAAAATGAAACAAAAAACCCACAAAAGTACCCTTACTACTTTCAATTTTCCCTCTTTTGGGGGGGAGGGTCCATTTTCCCCTTTGACACAGATCAGATCCTGGGGACTGAGGTGGAACCATGCAATTCTCCCTACCCCTGGAGTCAGGCGGACATGGGCTTGCGTTCCAGCCTTAGCACCTGCCAGCTGTGCGACCAGAGACGATTATTACATCTCAGCTCTAGGACGGGTCACCCCTCACAGGATTGCTGCGAGGACTGAGACAGGCCAGGCCTGAACAGGCACTCCTTGCTGGAGCAGGGAGAATTCCCAACCCCTGGTAACAAGGGTTACAGCAAAAATAATTTCTTTTGGTCAGAATAAAGTGTGTGACCTCATCGCTACGTAACAGACAGAAGGCACCTGCCGGGGAACAAACGGCCTTGGGGGAACGTGGCCCCCCTATGTCCCCTCCCATCCTGGGCGCCTGCTGCGGGGAGTGCTGGAGCTGCTCGGGACCAGTCTCTTCAGAAGGGACTGGGATCACCGGTGACCCGACATGTTGACAAAATGTGTCTCTGCTTCTGGCGAGAACCAAAAATGGATTTGTGAGGACAGCCTAGGGGATATAGTCAGTGAGAGTGTAGTAACTACGCACGGTGCCAGGTGGGTGCTGGAAGCAGCGGGGGGACCACTTTGTAAAGTATATGATTATCTAGCTGCTGTGCCGCACACCTGAAACTAATACCAAATAATACTGAATGTAAACCGTAATTGCAAAATACAATTTAGATTTAAAAAATAAAATTCCAAAAGGGAGTTGTTAAAAAAATCTGACATGTAAATAAAAACCAACCACAGCTACGGTTATGAGCGCAGGGCCTACGCCCTTCCGCCAGGCTTCGCACCCGCGCTGGGTGCCAGCGCTACCTGGGCCAGCTCTTCCCTTCACTGATGTGGCTCTATGATGTCACCTCTCCTGCCACCTCCCCAGGAGAAGCCATTTCTGCCGAACCACCACAGCCCCCAGCTGTCACCTCCGCCGCGTGGGAAACGCTGTAAACTCCACCTGGTCAGACAGCTGAGAGCTGGCCTGAGGGACACCGTGAAAATGACACACACCTCGGCTGTTAGGCAACAGAAACACTCTCCAACCTGCGGACCCTGAAGCGAGGCTGCTTCACCGAGCACCCCGAGGGGAGCTCCCCTTTGTTTTCCTTACATCAGGCCAAGCCAAGGTTTCAGCGTTTGGTTTCTCTAACGTGGAGTGAGAACTTGGGGAGTGTGAATCCCCAAGGACTCCCCCGTGTCCCCCCCGCCGGCCTTCCAGCAGTCTTATTCCGAGAATTCAGTATCATTTTGAGGGGGCAGTGGCAATACACCTTTCTCATTTCTCTCCAAAGTATTCTTGCCCTTTCCGGTCCTATTTCATTGGCTGACTGAGCCACATTGTCACAGCGCAGGCCACAGCTGGCAGGAACGGGCTTGGGGACACACGTCCACGCACCTGGCTACGCTAGTGCTGAGCGTGACGACTCAAGTGGCAAACAGGATGTTAAGAGGGGTGGGGAGGGTCAAAGAAGACTGTCTCGCAGACTGGCTGGCCCCACATTCATCCCTGACGTGTCTGTCCACGTGCGTGCAGCCCTTGGCCCAAAGCCGTGGGAGAACGCCAGCCCCGTTGTCAGGGAGATTATATTCTTTCGGAAATACCAATATGGAACTACTACCATGTTTGAAAACCCACCAGGTCCCACTTTCCTGCATACACGAGCTCGTCCTGACCCAGGATAACTGACTGGCACATATTGTAGATTTCATTTCTGCGACAGTCCTATGAGGTTGTTATGAGCCCATTTCCACCTGGGCAAACTGGGGCACTGACAGGTGCAGGAGGCTCCACAGCTAGAAAAGATCTGGGAACATCTGTAGGAATTCAATAAAGCGGGCACTGAGTCCGGAGGATGACTTTCTGATCCTCCTCACAGGTCTTTTTCACATCTCCCCATTTCTCTCTTAGAGAGTTAAGTTCCCTCTGGGATCGAGCCCCCGGGCTGCCCAGCCACAACCAAGTAGAAAAAAACACACAGCGACATTTCTGAAAATCAGCCCTTTAATCTATTTGAATCCAATGAGTAGGGAAAGAACTAAAACATTTTTTTCCCTTGAGATTTTGTTTGTAAGTAACGGGTTGGAGGTGTGTCTTCCGTAGGAAACTGACATCCCCTATGTCCTCAAGAATTTTTTGCAAATGCATAAAAGTGGAATTTCGAGGCCTGTGCATCCCACACATTTCCCCACCCTACCCCGCCCATCCTCTAAAGGGACTCCTTTCAGTAACTGGGGAACAGAACGTAAAAAAAATCCATCTAAGTGGCCAAGATACCAGAAATAACCAAATGCAGTTACACGCACATCAGTCAACTCAAATGCAAGCGGAAAGCTGTTCTACTTGGAATCCAGAGCCAAAAATTACAAATGGCAGAGACTTGAGCTATCTATATCGATAAGCTAAAACTCCTTCCCCTGGGCACGCCCCTTAATTACAAAAGTATGCCAACAATCTTGATATAAATGGAAAACAGGCGGCGCTGTCTCCCTGGGACACCAGGGCATATCTGAAATTCCCTGGGTGGAAGCGGGCCTGGGCCACTGCCCCTCCCTTTCAGGACTAAAGGGAGAGAAGAGGGGTAGGGACCCACCTCAGGAGCAAGTGGGGGGACAATGGGGCCACCCCAGGGACCAGGAACGTGCTGGTGTGTGGCCAGCCCATGGGGGAGCTCAGTGGCAAGGCGTCAAGACGGGGCTGCAGAGAGGGCCATGCGCTGTGCACCTCTCGGAGCCCCGAGGGTGGGCAGGTGGGTGGGTGTGCGGGGGGCAAGGGTGGGTCTGCTTTGCTTCCCCACCTAAGGCCTTGGGACTGCTGGCGGCGGCTGGGAGGGGCCGAGGCGTGATTATTCTGGGGTTGTAGAGAAAGATGCACCCTGTCTAGACAGAAGCCCACAAACCCTGTCTGGTTCTCAGGATGACTTCCCAGTCACATCCAGCCCCTCCACCAAGAGATGCTGTTGTGACACGGCAGGGGGGCTGAGGCACATTGGTGGGGGCTTCAGGGGAACAATGTGAATTGAAGAGGGGGAATCCGCCACCCGCCCAGTGACAACTAGGCCATCTGCTTCTTTGGAGAAAAGACAAG